CCTACTGTACTCTGAGTTTAATAATGAGGATAACCTACTGTACTCTGAGTTTAATAATGAGGATAACCTACTGTACTCTGAGTCTAATAATGAGGATAACCTACTGTACTCTATGAGTCTAATAATGAGGATAACCTACTGTACTCTATGAGTCTAATAATGAGGATAACCTACTGTACTCTATGAGTCTAATAATGAGGATAACCTACTGTACACTATAAGTCTAATAATGAGGATAACCTACTGTACACTATGAGTCTAATAATGAGGATAACCTACTGTACTCTGAGTCTAATAATGAGGATAACCTACTGTACTCTATGAGTCTAATAATGAGGATAACCTACTGTACTCTATGAGTCTAATAATGAGGATAACCTACTGTACTCTATGAGTCTAATAATGAGGATAACCTACTGTACACTATGAGTCTAATAATGAGGATAACCTACTGTACTCTGAGTTTAATAATGAGGATAACCTACTGTACTCTGAGTTTAATAATGAGGATAACCTACTGTACTCTGAGTCTAATAATGAGGATAACCTACTGTACTCTGAGTTTAATAATGAGGATAACCTACTGTACTCTGAGTCTAATATAAGTCTAATAATGAGGATAACCTACTGTACTCTGAGTTTAATAATGAGGATAACCTACTGTACACTATGAGTCTAATATAAGTCTAATAATGAGGATAACCTACTGTACTCTATGAATATAATAATGAGGATAACCTACTGTACTCTGAGTTTAATAATGAGGATAACCTACTGTACTCTGAGTTTAATAATGAGGATAACCTACTGTACTCTGAGTTTAATAATGAGGATAACCTACTGTACTCTGAGTCTAATAATGAGGATAACCTACTGTACTCTATGAATATAATAATGAGGATAACCTACTGTACTCTGAGTTTAATAATGAGGATAACCTACTGTACACTATGAGTCTAATAATGAGGATAACCTACTGTACTCTGAGTTTAATAATGAGGATAACCTACTGTACTCTGAGTCTAATATAAGTCTAATAATGAGGATAACCTACTGTACTCTGAGTTTAATAATGAGGATAACCTACTGTACTATGTCTAATATAAGTCTAATAATGAGGATAACCTACTGTACTCTATGAATATAATAATGAGGATAACCTACTGTACTCTGAGTTTAATAATGAGGATAACCTACTGTACTCTGAGTTTAATAATGAGGATAACCTACTGTACTCTGAGTTTAATAATGAGGATAACCTACTGTACTCTGAGTCTAATAATGAGGATAACCTACTGTACTCTGATTAATAATGAGGATAACCTACTGTACACTCTGAGTTAATAATGAGGATAACCTACTGTACTATGAGTTTAATAATGAGGATAACCTACTGTACTCTGAGTTTAATAATGAGGATAACCTACTGTACTCGAGTTTAATAATGAGGATAACCTACTGTACTCTGAGTTTAATAATGAGGATAACCTACTGTACTCTGAGTTTAATAATGAGGATAACCTACTGTACTCTATGAATTAATAATGAGGATAACCTACTGTCACTATGAGTTAATAATGAGGATAACCTACTGTACTCTGAGTTTAATAATGAGGATAACCTACTGTACTCTGATCTAATAATGAGGATAACCTACTGTACTCTATGAGTCTAATAATGAGGATAACCTACTGTACTCTGAGTCTAATAATGAGGATAACCTACTGTACTCTGAGTCTAATAATGAGGATAACCTACTGTACTCTGAGTCTAATAATGAGGATAACCTACTGTACTCTGAGTCTAATAATGAGGATAACCTACTGTACACTATGAGTCTAATATAAGTCTAATAATGAGGATAACCTACTGTACTCTGAGTTTAATAATGAGGATAACCTACTGTACACTATGAGTCTAATATAAGTCTAATAATGAGGATAACCTACTGTACTCTATGAATATAATAATGAGGATAACCTACTGTACTCTGAGTTTAATAATGAGGATAACCTACTGTACTCTGAGTCTAATAATGAGGATAACCTACTGTACACTATGAGTCTAATATAAGTCTAATAATGAGGATAACCTACTGTACTCTATGAGTCTAATAATGAGGATAACCTACTGTACTATGAGTTTAATAATGAGGATAACCTACTGTACTCTGAGTCTAATAATGAGGATAACCTACTGTACACTATGAGTCTAATATAAGTCTAATAATGAGGATAACCTACTGTACTCTGAGTTTAATAATGAGGATAACCTACTGTACACTATGAGTCTAATGAGTCTAATAATGAGGATAACCTACTGTACTCTATGAATATAATAATGAGGATAACCTACTGTACTATGAGTTTAATAATGAGGATAACCTACTGTACTCTGAGTCTAATAATGAGGATAACCTACTGTACTCTATGAATCTAATATAAGTCTAATAATGAGGATAACCTACTGTCAAATCAAATCAAGTTTTATTTATATAGCACATTTTTAACACGATTTTTGGTCGAGCCAAAGTGCTGTACATATAATAATTACCTTACAGTAAGGACACTTTACAGCAAATACAACAGCACAGTTTGTTCAGAATATCAGTATGAGAAAACGACACCCTCTGTCCTTAGACCCTCTGTCCTTAGACCCTCTGCCCTTAGACCCTCTGTCCTTAGACCCTCTGTCCTTAGACCCTCTGTCCTTAGACCCTCACATCGTACAAGGAAACACTTCCAGAGAAACCCCACAGTTTAAAGGAACTGAGAGAAACCTCAGGGAGAGCAGCAGAGGAGGGATCCCTCTCCCAGGACGGACAGACGTGCAATAGATGCCGTGTGTAAATCAAAGAGATAATACATTTCACAGCGTAGGTAGACCGAATGTTTGGAAATGCATGAGTCTATAATAAGAGATGAATCCACGAGGATGGTCAAGAACACTCCTGTGGGAGCCATCAGGGAAGCAGCCTGACGAGACTATGAGTCTAATGAGGATAACCTACTGTACTTTAGGAATTCAATAATGAGGATAACCTACTGTACACCATAAGTCTGATAATGAGGATAACCTATGAGTCTGATAATGAGGATTAACCTATGAGTCTGATAGTTGATTTATCAACATCCATGGCAGTTATACCAGTGTCAAGGGGGGGGGGGGACAATTACATCTTGTAGGACAACAGAGCCACATCATGAATACTTTCTCAGTGTGCACAGAATCTGCAGAATCTCACAAACAGTTGACCTGTCTGAGTTCTCAGTGTGTGTGTGTGTTCCTCCCCCTGCTGGCAGAGGAATATGAAAATGATGGATATAGTAGCTCAGAAAACGCCCTCTGAGGATGATGTGAATGTGGCGAGAAGTTTTCTCACGAAGATTTACGAAAGTTCCATGAGGTACGGTTCTGTGGCTTCATCAGTAGTTCCTCTTCATCAGTAGCTCCTCTTCATCAGTAGTTCCTCTTCATCAGTAGCCTCCTCTTTCATCAGTAGCTACCTATTCCTCCATGTGATCACCATACATCATTGTTTCCAGAGACTACATTGCATTTAGCAATTTATGATTTTTAGATACATCCTCCGTGGCCTGTGAATTCATCACATTAGGTGTGTTTGTGTGTGTGTGTGGTGGTTGGTGTGTCGCTGTGTGATGTGTGTGTGTGTGTGTTGTGTGTGCTTGTGTGTGTAGTGAATGTTGTGTCGTGTGTGTGTGTGTTGTGTGGTGTGTGTGTTGGTGTGTTTGTGTTGTTTGTGGGTGTGTGTGGTGTGTGTGTGTGTGTGTGTGTGCTGTGTGTTGTGTGGTGGTGTGTGTGTGTGTGTGTGTGTGTTGTGTGTGTGTGTGGTTGTGATGTGTGTCATTGTGATGTGTGTGTGGTTGTGATGTGTGTGTGTGTGTGTGTGTGTGTGTTGTGTGATGTTGTGTGCTTTAAGAGTACATTTCCCTCACACTGCAGATAGTGGCATGTGAGGAAATGTTTTGAATACGGAGATGTGGCTATAATAATAATAAATAATGGATACTACAATAATGACAGCCACCTTTTAGCTCAGTATAAATTCACTTTTTTGTTGCTATTTAAAAAGTCATGCTTATTTATTTTTATGGAATTGAGTGAATTGAAAATGCCACACAAATCCAGTGTCATTATAAATACAGATAAAAGAAGAAGATATTTTAGAAATGTACTTTGGTTGTGTTGCTGCCTGCAGTAGGGACTTCCTGTTCTGTGATTAATGTGATTATATATATATATAGAATATATAATATAATGTGATGTAATGTGATGTAATGTGATGTAATGTGTCTGCATCTGCGCTCTCCTGCAGGAGGAACCAGCCAATCAGCCGGCCTCACTCCTGGCACTCCACCAAGTTCAACGAGAACCAATCAGAGACTGCCAAACCTCAGGCTCCACCCACGCAGGTGTGGCACACCATAAATGATGCCAGGTAACTGTCCAGCCTCAGGTATCAAGCGCTTCAGATAATCTGTGTGAGAGCTCAAAATGTATCCATCTCCCTTTATGTTTTCTGGATTATCTGAGTAGTTGTTTGGTCTATAAAATGAGAAAGTAGATCCCTCAGTGATCATCTGTAGGTGTTTGACAGAAAGTAGATCCCTCAGTGATCATCTGTAGGTCTTTAACAGAAAGTAGATCCCTCAGTGATCATCTGTAGGTCTTTGACAGAAAGTAGATCCCTCAGTGATCATCTGTAGGTCTTTAACAGAAAGTAGATCTCTCAGTGATCATCTGTAGGTCTTTGACAGAAAGTAGATCCCTCAGTGATCATCTGTAGGTCTTTAACAGAAAGTAGATCCCTCAGTGATCATCTGTAGGTCTTTAACAGAAAGTAGATCCCTCAGTGATCATCTGTAGGTCTTTGACAGAAAGTAGATCCCTCAGTGATCATCTGTAGGTCTTTAACAGAAAGTAGATCCCTCAGTTGATCTCATGTTGTCTGCTCTCTAGCTCCTCCTCAGATCTGTCCTATGGTTGGGATCAGACCCCCCTGCTCAGAGTGTCCGATCAGTTCAGTTCCCACGGTAGCATGGACAGCTTAGACCAGGTCCCCCCCCCCCTCTGGCCAGCTTTCCCCCCCAACCAGCAGCATGGAGGAGCATCTGGGGGGGGAAGCGAGACTCGGCATACAGCTCCTTCTCCACCAGCTCCGGGACGCCTGACTACACCCTTTACAGGAGCAACGCGGCCTCCACGGAGAACGTGGTTCATCAGGTGAGTCAGTGGGAGGCGGGGGGGAGGAACCCCAGGACCCCCCCGAGCCTGAGGGAGGGCCACAGGCCGGAGGACAGGCTGGCCTACTTCCAGATGCCGGGCCTCCTGTCTGCACAGACCGACGACCCGGCCCGGCACTCGACCTCCAGCAGAACCAGCTTAGGCCCGGTCTGGCATGTCCCGGAGAAAAAGAAGACCTCCTCCCCCTCTCCCCCCCCCCGCCCCCCCCCGCCTGCTCGCAGCGACAGCTTTGCTGCCACTAAAGTTCATGAGCGAGGCCTTATACCCCCCTACCCTGAAGGTCCTGAACCACACAAGATTTTCACTGAGAGCCGCCGCGCTCACAACCCGCCGTCATCTGAAGCACCGAACCAGAACCAGAACGAGTGTAGCTCCAACAGGCAACCCGCCCATCAGAGACACCACAGTGACAAGAGCACTTTCTACCCTCAGACCTGGACTGTCTCCGTCCCAAAGCCTCCTACCGCAGGGGGGTCTTACTGCAGCATGCAGGACCTGCAGGACCTGAACACCAACATTTCTGCACCCTGCGGTCAGAACCAGAGCAGGATCCTCAGCTCCTCTGAACAGATCTCTGACAGCAGCCGGTACTACTGTGTCACCACACAGAATAATCCCCCCCTGTCAGGAAGGAGCCTCAGCACAGACCCCCCAGCGGTCAGCCTGCAGACCACCAGCCCCCCAGTGAAGCCTCAGGCCCCCCAACACCCTCACAGCAAAGACAGTAATGGATACAACATTATCCAGGTGTCCACAGGGCTGGAAACCAAACCCAGCCCTGAGGACCGGGGGCTGCAGAGTTATCCTGCGAGCAGACCCCCCGAACAGAGGAGGTCTCTGCCCCCACAGGACGTCAGACATCAGGTCAGCAACAAGATCTGCCCCGAGGACACCCCCATGCTTCACTCCCTGTCCATGGATGCTGCCGGGCAAACTGAGAAATGAAAGTCCTGAACCCTGAGGAGGCCATTGAAGACCAGCAGGCGCGGCGCAGCGACCGCTTTGCCACCACTCTGAGGAACCAGATCCAGATGAGGAGAGCCAATCTGCAGAAGAGCACCAGCAGCCTTCCTGGTGCCGAGGCTGACGAGGATCAGGAGGTCTGGAGGCCTGAAGGAGACCCTCCGTCCTCTGCAGACAGATCCTTCACCAGCTCCTACAAGGACCACCTGAAGGAAGCACAAGCCAGGGTGCTCAAGGCCACATCTTTCAGGAGGAGAGACCTGGTTTTACTAGAGGCCCCTGCAGCTGAGGCCTCACAGAACTACAGGAAGGAGGGTCCCCCTTTGCCCACAGTTTCTGAGTCTGTGATGGGTAAAACACTCGGGGGTCCGGTGACCCGCATCGGGGGCCGTAAGCGGTTTCCTGCAGAGAAGAAGGTCAGGTCTTTCTCTGAGCCGGACAAAATCCACCAAGTTGGGGTGAAGGAAGATCCTCCTCGCAATGAAAGCTCCTCACTGGACCAAAATAAGCTCCTCAGTGGGAAACCAGTTCTCCACAGTACCCCTCCAGAGATCCCCTCTGAGACCAGGGCCCGAGGTCTCTGCTGGACCCCTGAACCAAAGGAGGACTCAGTGAGGGTCCTGAACCAGGGAGACCCTGCACATCAGCCGGTCCTAGACCAGCACCTAGTCCCGGACCAGCAGCGACTTGGCACCTTTGCTGAGTACGAGGCCCAGTGGAACACACAGAAGAACGTCCAGGAAACCAGGTCCTCGGGTCGGTACCGATCAGCAGAGAACATCCTGGACCCGGAGGGGAGGAGGAACCCCACCTGCCCTCCACGAGAGGTCCCGATCCAGTCCTTCAGCCCAAAGGTCCGGACAGGTGAGTCTCCCTGAAGGACTTCAGGAAATCTGTCTTTCAAGTCAAGTGATTTTTAAATAAATGTTGAAACAGATATGATTTTTGTATTTTTCAAACAAGCGAGCAAAATGTATAATAAATAAAAACGAGGTAATTGACAGAATATTACAAACAAACAAACTCACCAAAGAGGAAGTTGTTCAGGTCTTAAAGCAGGTTTTTACGGGAGATCTTAACGACGTAGGGTTGTGGTTGTGGTTCGCCCACAATAGAGATATTAAAACAGATTTACTGTCAGAACAAACAGGATGCAGTTTACTCTGATCCCACATCAGTCTCAGATGATTTCAGAGTTCTGCAGACTTAATAAAAGGTGGATAGAAACATAAATGATATATGTATGGCTCATTAACACAGAGCGATCAGAACAAGAGGCCTGGTGGCTGTCACTGTGTCATAAAGACAAACTGAAGGAGCAGGAAGGAGCCAAGTCAAATAAGAATGTTTGTTCTTCAAGACACACCCTGAGCTAAGAGCGGCAGCAACACTCTCTATTCTCTATTCACTATTATATTACTAACTATAAGTCTACCTACAACAAGGAAGCTGCCGCCACACGCTGACCACTCTCTGTTCTCTATTATATTATGCCACTAACACGGACCAGGAAGCTGCAGCACCAGGGTTTCTGTGTGGGGGGGTTCAGCGGACTCACTGTGTGTTCATCTGTGTTCACAGAGGGTTCAAGTTCCTGCTGAACAGTCGGAGACAGAAGACTCCCGGACCGAGAGCACAGCTGCTGCAGCAGGGTGAGTACATCTAATGTCAAATCAAATCAAATCAAGGTTTATTTATAAAGCACATTTAAAAGCGATTTTTGGTCGGGCCAAAGTGCTGTACATGTAATAACTACAATCACATAAAAACACATTTCTATAAGCACAATAAAAGACAATAAATTACAACAGATATTTAAAAAGAAAACACAGGGAAAAGTCAGGAGTCGTGCTCCGCTCTGACTAGAAGGCCAGAGAGAAGAAGTGTGTTTTAAGAGTAGTGTGTGTGTGTGTGTGTGTGTGTGTGTGTGTGTGTGTGTGTGTGTGTGTGTGTGTGTGTGTGTGTGTGTGTGTGTGTGTGTGTGTGTGTGTGTGTGTGTGTGTGTGTGTGTGTGTGTGTGTGTGTGTGTGTGTGTGTGTGTGTGTGTGTGTGTGTGTGTGTGTGTGTGTGTGTGTGTGTGTGTGTGTGTGTGTGTGTGTGTGTGTGTGTGTGTGTGTGTGTGTGTGTGTGTGTGTCGTAGGCCCCCTCAGCCGGAGGACCACACCGAGCTGCCCCCCCTCCCCTCTCCCCCCCTCATGGAGGAGCAGTGCCCCCCTTCTCCTCGCTTCTCCCCCCAGAGACTCAGCGAAGCCCCCCCCAGAGACTCAGCGAAGCCCCCCCCCCCCAGGAGGAAGACGAGGACAGGTAAAGTCTTTATTCAATAATCATCATTAACCACAGCTGTGAGATCAGGGTCTCTTTACTTTGGGAGGGGGGTGGTCTTCATGGAGCCCTTCAAAGACCACCCCCCTCCTCTGTGACAGCCTGGGGGGGGGGGACATCAGCCAACATGCATCCTCTCAGTAGAGAAACTTCCTGCAGCTGAAGACCTGAATGAGGTCTGGATCCACTATGAGTGAAGCTGCTGTAACCTGAACCTGATCCTGATTCTGAATGTGTTTTTTAGGGGGCAGCGTCTGACAGGAAGTAGACCCTCTGCAGGGACCAGGGTCCCCGTCAGGATCCTGCATTCAGGGGGGGGGCAGCGACACCTGTCCATACCTGCAGCAACCTGACCCCCCCACTGTGGAAGCTCCTGGGGGTCTCGCTGGTCTGGGCTCTGCAGGCCAGGACTCACACTGCAGTGCATTCAGCAGACACACTGACCCCCCCCCAAAGGGACCACCTGACCCCCACCCCAGATCACATGACCTCCAACAGTTTGCCACCAGCGGGCCTGCCCTGCAGAGAGGGGGAGACCTCTGGGTTTTTGGGAGAGACGAACTCTGGGGGTTCGGGGGGGGAGACTCCGGGTCTGTCTGAGGACCAGAGGAGGGAGGCGCTGGCCCGGGTCATCGTGGAGAAAGATAAATCTCTGGCTGAGGTTCTGGACCGCAGCCACATGAAGACCACCATGGACCTGATGGAGGGCATCTTCCCTGGGGGGGGGGAGCTGCTGGAGGGAGGGAACCAGCGCAGGAAGGTCCCCCCCAAACAGCCTTCGGGCCCCCCTGCTGAGACCAGGTGAGACTCCCTGTAGACCAGGTCTCTGAGAGACTGATGATGATTGTGAGGAGGTGCAGTGAGGATCAGGTTCAGTGAGGATCAGGAGGATCAGGTTCAGTGAGGGTCAGGAGTATCAGGTTCAGTGAGGATCAGGTTCAGTGAGGATCAGGTTCAGTGAGGATCAGGAGGATCAGGTTCAGTGAGGATCAGGAGGATCAGGTTCAGTGAGGATCAGGAGGATCAGTTTCAGTGAGGATCAGGAGGATCAGGTTCAGTGAGGTTCAGGATCAGTGAGGATCAGGAGGATCAGGTTCAGTGAGGTTCAGTGAGGATCAGGAGGATCAGGTTCAGTGAGGTTCAGGAGGATCAGGTGCAGTGAGGATCAGGTTCAGTGAGGTTAAGGAGTATCAGGTGCAGTGAGGATCAGGATCAGTGAGGATCAGGAGTATCAGGTGCAGTGAGGATCAGGTTCAGTGAGGATCAGGAGGATCAGGTTCAGTGAGGATCAGGAGGATCAGGTTCAGTGAGGATCAGGAGGATCAGGTTCAGTGAGGATCAGGAGTATCAGGTTCAGTGAGGATCAGGAGTATCAGGTTCAGTGAGGATCAGGTTCAGTGAGGATCAGGAGGATCAGGTTCAGTGAGGTTCAGGAGTATCAGGTTCAGTGAGGATCAGGAGGATCAGGTTCAGTGAGGTTAAGGAGTATCAGGTGCAGTGAGGATCAGGATCAGTGAGGATCAGGAGTATCAGGTGCAGTGAGGATCAGGTTCAGTGAGGATCAGGAGTATCAGGTGCAGTGAGGATCAGGATCAGTGAGGATCAGGAGTATCAGGTTCAGTGAGGATCAGGAGGATCAGGTTCAGTGAGGATCAGGAGTATCAGGTTCAGTGAGGATCAGGAGTATCAGGTTCAGTGAGGATCAGGTTCAGTGAGGATCAGGTTCAGTGAGGTTCAGGAGGATCAGGTTCAGTGAGGATCAGGTTCAGTGAGGATCAGGAGGATCAGGTTCAGGAGTATCAGGTTCAGTGAGGATCAGGAGGATCAGGTTCAGTGAGGATCAGGTTCAGTGAGGATCAGGTTCAGTGAGGTTCAGGAGGATCAGGTTCAGTGAGGATCAGGTTCAGTGAGGATCAGGTTCAGTGAGGATCAGGAGGATCAGGTTCAGTGAGGATCAGGTTCAGTGAGGATCAGGTTCAGTGAGGATCAGGAGGATCAGGTTCAGGAGTATCAGGTTCAGTGAGGATCAGGAGTATCAGGTTCAGTGAGGATCAGGAGTATCAGGTTCAGTGAGGATCAGGTTTAGTGAGGATCAGGTTCAGTGAGGTTCAGGATCAGGAGGATCAGGTGCAGCGAAGCAGTCTTTGTTGAGAAGGATCACAGTCAGGATCACGGACCCCCCCATTATCCCACTCATCACACAGGAGGCGTGTGGCGCAGTGGATAGATGGTCACAGGTTCAAACCCCACTGCAGTCAGCATGTCGTTGTGTCCCTGAGACACTTCACCCCAAATTGCTCCTGTGGGGATTGCCCACAGTATTGAGTATGTAACGGCCCGTCCACACGGCGGCGTGCGTTGACTCTTCAGCGCTTCTGTCCATTCACTTTGAATGCGGTGACGTCACGCTTCGCCGAACTGCATTGTGGGAGCGTCGCTACGCGTTGCTCGCGGTGCTCGCTGCAAAAGTTGAGCAATGTTCAACTTTTGAAGCTTCGACGGAGGCGTCAGCCAATCAAATCCCGCTTATGCAAATCTGACAGTACAAGCGCTAGCCAATCAAACCGCGTGCATGCTGGGAGAGCCAGACCGCAGGTCATTTACTCATGTTCCAAAAAATGGAGGATAAAATAATAATAGCAGTAGGGAATCACCCGGTCCTTTATGACCAGTCCCTCTTTATCTACTGGGATACAAACCGGAGGAGCCAGGCATGGAGGGAGGCGGCAGAGACAGTGGTAGGTTTTCGCCTGTTTGGGGAGTATCCAGTTTACTTCGGGCTTTTTTGCTTTGTATGTCGGGGGCGGGAGATTCATGTGATTGGTTGTTGGTCGCGTTGCTCGCGAGAAATCCCCAAGCTTCACACACGCCCACCACCAAGCTTCAACGCACGCCGCCGTGTGGACGGGCCGTAACTCGCTTTGGATAAAAGCGTCTAACAAGTAACATGTAATGTAATGTAATCACACAAACTAAACACACTAGCGCAGGGGGGTCAAACTCAAATACACAGTGGGCCAAAACAAAAAGAATGGGTACAAGTCGAGGGCCGGACTGGTTCAATGTTTATTGCAAAACGTATTGAAATGAACTTATTGCACATATTAAACCTGGAACTAACAAAGCTTCAATGATTGCCTATGAAAACAACATTAAACATTAAAGGGGACCTATCATGCATTCTTCCATACCCAAATCTCTAAAAAAGGGGCTGCAACGGATCTGATAAAAACTGATCCAGAGTTGAACACTGTCCTGTCCTATCTGCAGCTTTTCCAGAGTCATTTCTTATGAGTACATTTTTCCACAGGCCAACAACAGCTTCAACAAAACTATTTCCCTCAAAGAACAAACCAAACATGCCCTGAAACATGTGAACTCAGTGTGCTGCTCTGTGATGCTAGTTCAGATACTTGGCATCTCATCTTGGGTGCACGTTCATCAATGTTTGGGCTCAGGCTCTGAGCGGAGGAGACCCTCAGGATGGAGTGAAGGTGTGCGTGCAATATACCGGCGGGCCAGATCTAATAGAAATTAGAAATGATCCTGCGGGCCGAAATGAAATCCACCACGGGCCTGATTTGGCCCCCGGGCCTTGAGTTTGACACATGTGCACTAGCGACTTGAAAATGTTAATTATTCATGAGGAGTCTGTGTTTCAGGGAGCAGGACAGCATGCCAGCATCCGTCTCCATGGTAACCAGCTCGTCCTATTACAGCACATCTGCTCCTAAAGCCGAGCTCCTCATCATGATGAAGGACATGAGGGAGGAAGAGGAGGAAGATGACGAAGAGGAAGAGCTGGACTCTGAGGAGGAGCTGGACATCGACCTGGCCTTCAAGAAGGTACCAGCCCAATAACAACACTCTTATTAGGAGTTTACTTCCTGTTCCTGTAGTTCACTTCCTGTCCCTGTAGTTCACTTCCTGCTCCTGTAGTTCACTTCCTGTCCCTGTAGTTCACTTCCTGTTCCTGTAGTTCACTTCCTGCTCCTGTAGTTCACTTCCTGTCCCTGTAGTTCACTTCCTTCCTGCTCCTGTAGTTCACTTCCTGTCCCTGTAGTTCACTTCCTGTCCCTGTAGTTCACTTCCTGTCCCTGTAGTTCACTTCCTGCTCCTGTAGTTAACTTCCTGTCCCTGTAGTTCACTTCCTGTCCCTGTAGTTCACTTCCTGTTCCTGTATGCCACTTCCTGCTCCTGTAGTTCACTTCCTGTTCCTGTAGTTCACTTCCTGTTCCTGTAGTTCACTTCCTGTTCCTGTAGTTCACTTCCTGTCTTGTATGCCACTTCCTGTCCCTGTAGTTCACTTCCTGTTCCTGTAGTTCACTTCCTGTTCCTGTATGCCACTTCCTGCTCCTGTAGTTCACTTCCTGTTCTTGTAGTTCACTTCCTGCTCCTGTAGTTCACTTCCTGTCCCTGTAGTTCACTTCCTATTCCTGTAGTTCACTTCCTGTTCCTGTAGTTCACTTCCTGTCCTGTATGCCACTTCCTGTCCCTGTAGTTAACTTCCTGTTCCTGTAGTTCACTTCCTGTCCCTGTAGTTCACTTCCTGCTCCTGTAGTTCACTTCCTGCTCCTGTAGTTCACTTCCTGTTCCTGTAGTTCACTTCCTGTTCCTGTAGTTCACTTCCTGCTCCTGTAGTTCACTTCCTGCTCCTGTAGTTCACTTCCTGTTCCTGTAGTTCACTTCCTGTCCCTGTAGTTCACTTCCTGCTCCTGTAGTTCACTTCCTGTCCCTGTATGTCACTTCCTGTTCCTGTAGTTAACTTCCTGTTCCTGTAGTTCACTTCCTGTCCCTGTAGTTCACTTCCTGCTCCTGTAGTTCACTTCCTGTTCCTGTATGGCACTTCCTGTCCCTGTAGTTCACTTCCTGTCCCTGTAGTTCACTTCCTGCTCCTGTAGTTCACTTCCTGTTCCTGTAGTTCACTTCCTGCTCCTGTAGTTCACTTCCTGTCCCTGTAGTTCACTTCCTGTTCCTGTATGCCACTTCCTGTCCCTGTAGTTAACTTCCTGCTCCTGTAGTTCACTTCCTGTTCCTGTATGCCACTTCCTGCTCCTGTAGTTCACTTCCTGTTCCTGTAGTTCACTTCCTGCTCCTGTAGTTCACTTCCTGTCCCTGTAGTTCACTTCCTGTTCCTGTATGCCACTTCCTGCTCCTGTAGTTCACTTCCTGTTCCTGTAGTTCACTTCCTGTTCCTGTAGTTCACTTCCTGTTCCTGTAGTTCACTTCCTGTCTTGTATGCCACTTCCTGTCCCTGTAGTTCACTTCCTGTTCCTGTAGTTCACTTCCTGTCCCTGTAGTTCACTTCCTGTTCCTGTATGCCACTTCCTGTCCCTGTAGTTCACTTCCTGTTCCTGTAGTTCACTTCCTGTCCCTGTAGTTCACTTCCTGTCCCTGTAGTTAACTTCCTGTTCCTGTATGCCACTTCCTGCTCCTGTAGTTCACTTCCTGTTCCTGTATGCCACTTCCTGCTCCTGTAGTTCCCTTCCTGTCCCTGTAGTTCACTTCCTGTTCCTGTAGTTCACTTCCTGCTCCTGTAGTTCACTTCCTGTCCCTGTAGTTCACTTCCTGTTCCTGTATGCCACTTCCTGTCCCTGTAGTTCACTTCCTGTTCCTGTAGTTCACTTCCTGTTCCTGTAGTTCACTTCCTGTCCCTGTAGTTCACTTCCTGTCCCTGTAGTTAACTTCCTGTTCCTGTAGTTCACTTCCTGTATGCTACTTCCTGTCCCTGTAGTTAACTTCCTGTATGCTACTTCCTGTCCCTGTAGTTAACTTCCTGTTCCTGTAGTTCACTTCCTGTATGCTACTTCCTGTCCCTGTAGTTAACTTCCTGTTCCTGTAGTTCACTTCCTGTATGCTACTTCCTGTTCCTGTAGTTCACTTCCTGTCCCTGTAGTTAACTTCCTGTTCCTGTAGTTCACTTCCTGTATGCTACTTCCTGTCCCTGTAGTTCACTTCCTGTCCCTGTAGTTAACTTCCTGTCCCTGTAGTTAACTTCCTGTTCCTGTAGTTCACTTCCTGTATGCTACTTCCTGTTCCTGTAGTTCACTTCCTGTCCCTGTAGTTAACTTCCTGTTCCTGTAGTTCACTTCCTGTATGCTACTTCCTGTCCCTGTAGTTCACTTCCTGTCCCTGTAGTTCACTTCCTGTCCCTGTAGTTAACTTCCTGTATGCTACTTCCTGTCCCTGTAGTTAACTTCCTGTTCCTGTAGTTCACTTCCTGTATGCTACTTCCCTGTAGTTAACTTCCTGTTCCTGTAGTTCACTTCCTGTATGCTACTTCCTGTTCCTGTAGTTCACTTCCTGTCCCTGTAGTTAACTTCCTGTTCCTGTAGTTCACTTCCTGTATGCCACTTCCTGTCCCTGTAGTTCACTTCCTGTCCCTGTAGTTCACTTCCTGTCCCTGTAGTTAACTTCCTGTATGCCACTTCCTGTCCCACAGCAGCAGCTGATGCAGAGCCTCAGCAGGAAGCTGTCTGTACTGCAGGAGGCGCAGCAGAGCCTGCAGGAGGACGTGCAGGGCAACAACGCGCTGGGGGGGGCCGTGGAGGCTCAGGTGCAGCTGCTCTGCAAACCCAACCAGATCGAAAAGTTCCGCATGTTTGTGGGAGACCTGGACAAGGTGGTTAGTCTCCTGCTGTCTCTGTCGGGACGCCTGGCGAGGGTGGAGAACGCCATCGACAGCCTGGAGGAGGAGGCGCCCCCCCAGGAGAGGGTGAGACATATACACACATATACATATATATAGAAGGGCGCCCCCCAGGAGAGGGTGAGACATATACACATATATATATATATATATATACCTATTATATTTTATAGGTTAAAGACTTTCCTCTTCAGTACAGCGTACAGTTAAGACTGGTTTTAAACCCCCTTTTATACACATCCTCCCGGACCCTTCGTTTTATGGAATTTGATTGTACTCTAACTGTATTTGTGTCATTGTGTTATGTTCCCTTTTAAATTACGTTTGTTGTTTATACATTGTTTTACATTGCTAATTTTGTTTGTTGACTTGTGAAGCCCTCTGAGACAAATAGGATTTGTGATTTTGGGCTATATAAATAAACTTGAATTTAATTGAATATACATATATATAGAAGGGCGCCCCCCCAGGAGAGGGTGAGACATATACACATATATATATACATATACATACATATATATAGAAGGGCGCTCCCCCACGAGAGGGTGAGAAATATACACATATATATATATATATATATATACATATACATATATATATATAGAAGGGCGCTCCCCCACGAGAGGGTGAGAAATATACACATATATATATATATATATATATACATATACATATATATATATAGAAGGGCGCTCCCCCATGAGAGGGTGAGAAATATACACATATATATATATATATATATACATATACATATACATATATATAGAAGGGCGCTCCCCCACGAGAGGGTGAGAAATATACACATATATATATATACATATACATAGGAGGCGCCCCCCCAGGAGAGGGTGAGACATATATACATATATATATGTATAATTATATATATATATATATATATATATATATATACATATACATATATATAGAAGGGTTCCCCCCCACGAGAGGGTGAGACATATACACATATATATATATAATCATATATATATATATATATATAATTATATATATATATATATATACATACATAGACACAGGAGGCGCCCCCCCACGAGAGGGTGAGACATATACACATATATATATGTATAATTATATATATATATATATATATATATATACATATACATATATATAGAAGGGTTCCCCCCCACGAGAGGGTGAGACATATACACATATATATATATAATCATATATATATATATATATATAATTATATATATATATATATATATACATACATAGACACAGGAGGCGCCCCCCCACGAGAGGGTGAGGCATATACACATATATATATATATAATCATATATATATATATATATATATATATATACATATACATAGACATAGACATAGGAGGAGCCCCCCCAGGAGAGGGTGAGACATATACACATAAAATGTGACAAATGTCCTCTGGTTGGAACAGGCAGACTGGACTTTGAAACGGTATAAGATTTGTTGCCAAGAAGCATTTTTACAACAAAGAAATCATCTACCAAAAAGAAATGTCCTTACTTTAAGTTGATATAGATATATATCGATGTATATATATATATATATACACATAGATAAGAGAAGACTTTGTCCCCTGTATCCTGGCAGCGCCTGCTGACAGACAAGAGGAATGTTCTGATCCGGCAGCACGAGGATGCCAAGGAGCTGAAGGAGAACCTGGACCGGAGGGAGCGTCTGGTGTTTGACATCCTGTCGCTGCACCTCCATCAGGACCTCCTCACCGACTACCAGCACTTTGTGAAGATGAAGTCAGCGCTCCTCATCGAGCAGCGCAAGCTGGAGGACAAGATCAAGCTGGGGGAGGAGCAGCTCCGGGGTCTGAAGGAGAGCCTGGAAAACCGGACCTCCTTCTGAAGGAGAGCCCGGAGAACCGGACCTCCTTCTGAAGGAGAGCCCGGAGAACCGGACCTCCTTCTGAAGGAGAGCCCGGAGAACCGGACCTCCTTCTGAAGGAGAGCCCGGAGAACCGGATCTCCTTCTAAAAGGGAAGAGCCTGAGAGGAACTGTGAGGAGACTTGGGGTGTAGTAGCGGCTGGTGTCCAGCAGAGGGAAGCAGAGGACTCTTTAGACACCCTGAAGAACTCCTCCTGCAGCCCCTCCTCCTCCTCCTCTTCCTCTTGGGGAAAAGGAGCTCCAGACTTTGTGAACTCTTCAGAACAAACTCAACTCTGGGATGAGTTTAAAGACTGTGGGAACATTTCTGTAGCGTCCATGTTGTTTCCAGCCGAGGCGTCCCTGAATGCACCACCTGCAGTTTGCTTTGTTTCCACGTCTACGTTTTTTAGTAATTTATTGTAGCCTGTTGGATCCGAGCAGGAGGGAAAGTGTCTCATCTTCATCACGCTGTGTCAAAATGTTGTCATGTTTCAGTCATGTTATTTCCACTCACTTTATCCCCCCCCCCCCCAAAGCAGCTGCTATCCCCCCCCCCCAAAGCAGCTGCTATCCCCCCACCCCAAGCAGCTGCTAACAGGAGGTACAGATGGTGGATGTGAAAGCACTTGTTGGGCTTCAGTGAACAGAACAGAGCTCTTCACATTCAGACCTCCAGACCCTCCAGACCTGGACTCAAGTAAAGTCCATCTGAAGTGCCTGTCGGATTGATCATATATTTCTGATCAAGTGTTCTGTTGTGTTGCTCACGTTACGGATGCTAAACATGTCGTTACGAGATACATTTCAACACTAAAGATGTTTTGGATTTCAATCCTCCCATCTGTGTTTCCCATGATGCATCACTGCTGCTGCTCCTTATTTCAAAATAAAAGCTTCTGCTGAATCGTGTGATGGTGTCCGAGTCACTCATTAACCTCCACGCCTCCTCCGATAAGAGCTGGAGACTTTGGAGTGTCTTTGAGAGTCAGCAGTTTCTGACAGCAGGACTCAGGACTAATGAAGAGGCCGATCCAGAGGAACCAGCAGCAGGTAACGGGGGGGGGGGGGGGGGGTCCACATTTAAAGGACCATCAATAACTCCTGAGGAAGAGTTTCAACATTATGCTTCATTTTATTTAGAGACAGTTTAATTATCAGTATAGATAAATATTACCTGATGTGTTGAGGTACGCCAAACAAACTAAATGTGCAGGCTGCAGGCGAGATCTAGAGGACTGAACGGATTCATATGAACTTTCATGATTCTATGTTTTTTTATTGATCTTAAAACTACACAGAACAAAGCACAGAATCATTAGCTTCCTGTGGTAGAGGTTATGTATAATGAAATAGTTCAGTATGGATTCAGCAGTTTGTGTAATGTCGCTCTCAGACATTCAAACAGGTTTATTATTAATGGGGAACTCGTAAAACCTATAATGATGTTTATTGTTTTGTAAGGATATTTTGTACTTTTTAATTAATGTATTATAAAAGTCATACATGTTGTACACAGGTGAATGAAACATGTGTAACTAACATATCCCCATGAAAGCCACCAACTTCATAACTGACATTAACACAATTATTTTGTATTACAGGTTATGTTTAAATATGCTAATAAGGCATCATTCAATGCTAACTGTTGTTGTGCAAACACAAACCGAGTGAAATGAACTCCTGGCTGCGATCAGAGTCACGTTTTTCAGTATTATTATGTAGTAGTTTCATCCGAGAGATTAGCTTTGGTTTATAATGGTGCACACATTAGCACAGGAAGAGAAATGAAGCTAATATATCACTTTTTTTAGAAGAGATTTCAAAAATTAATTAACAAAACATGGAGCGCAATAAGAATATGAAATATAAAACATGCATCTGGTTAAACAGGCTGAGCTGTGCGGGTTAAAGAAGCACAAATGTGCGGAGATGATGGGGATACAGAGGTGTTCAGGTTCACTCTGCAGAGAGGATGGAGCTACAGAGGTGTTCAGGTTCACTCTGCAGAGAGGATGGAGATACAGAGGTGTTCAGGTTCACTCTGCGGAGATGATGGAGATACAGAGGTGTTCAGGTTCACTGCAGAGAGGATGGAGATACAGAGGTGTTCAGGTTCACTCTGCAGAGAGGATGGAGCTACAGAGGTGTTCAGGTTCACTCTGCAGAGAGGATGGAGATACAGAGGTGTTCAGGTTCACTCTGCGGAGATGATGGAGATACAGAGGTGTTCAGGTTCACTGCAGAGAGGATGGAGATACAGAGGTGTTCAGGTTCACTCTGCAGAGAGGATGGAGATACAGAGGTGTTCAGGTTCACTCTGCGGAGATGATGGAGATACAGAGGTGTTCAGGTTCACTCTGCAGAGAGGATGGAGATACAGAGGTGTTCAGGTTCACTGCAGAGAGGATGGAGATACAGAGGTGTTCAGGTTCACTCTGCAGAGAGGATGGAGATACAGAGGTGTTCAGGTTCACTCTGCAGAGAGGATGGAGATACAGAGGTGTTCAGGTTCACTCTGCAGAGAGGATGGAGATACAGAGGTGTTCAGGTTCACTCTGCAGAGAGGATGGAGATACAGAGGTGTTCAGGTTCACTCTGCAGAGATGATGGAGATACAGAGGTGTTCAGGTTCACTCTGCAGAGAGGATGGAGATACAGAGGTGTTCAGGTTCACTCTGCAGAGAGGATGGAGATACAGAAGTGTTCAGGTTCACTCTGCAGAGAGGATGGAGATACAGAGGTGTACAGGTTCATGGTGCAGAGAGGATGGAGATACAGAGGTGTTCAGGTTCACTGCAGAGAGGATGGAGATACAGAGGTGTTCAGGTACACTGCAGAGAGGATGGAGATACAGAGGTGTTCAGTTTCACTCTGCAGAGAGGATGGAGATACAGAAGTGTTCAGGTTCACTCTGCGGAGATGATGGAGATACGGAGGTGTTCAGGTTCACTCTGCAGAGAGGATGGAGATACAGAGGTGTTCAGGTTCACTCTGCAGAGAGGATGGAGATACAGAGGTGTTCAGGTTCACTCTGCAGAGAGGATGGAGATACAGATGTGTTCAGGTTCACTCTGCAGAGAGGATGGAGATACAGAGGTGTTCAGGTTCACTCTGCAGAGAGGATGGAGATACAGAGGTGTTCAGGTTCACTGCAGAGAGGATGGAGATACAGAGGTGTTCAGGTTCACTCTGCAGAGATGATGGAGATACAGAGGTGTTCAGGTTCACTCTGCAGAGAGGATGGAGATACAGAGGTGTTCAGGTTCACTCTGCAGAGATGATGGAGATACAGAGGTGTTCAGGTTCACTCTGCAGAGAGGATGGAGATACAGAGGTGTTCAGGTTCACTCTGCAGAGAGGATGGAGATACAGAGGTGTTCAGGTTCACTCTGCAGAGAGGATGGAGATACAGAGGTGTTCAGGTTCACTCTGCAGAGAGGATGGAGATACAGAGGTGTTCAGGTTCACTCTGCAGAGAGGATGGAGATACAGAGGTGTTCAGGTTCACTCTGCAGAGAGGATGGAGATACAGAGGTGTTCAGGTTCACTCTGCAGAGAGGATGGAGATACAGAGGTGTTCAGGTTCACTCTGCAGAGATGATGGAGATACAGAGGTGTTCAGGTTCATGGTGCAGAGAGGATGGAGATACAGAGGTGTTCAGGTTCACTCTGCGGAGATGATGGAGATACAGAGGTGTTCAGGTTCACTCTGCGGAGATGATGGAGATACAGAGGTGTTCAGGTTCACTCTGCAGAGAGGATGGAGATACAGAGGTGTTCAGGTTCACTCTGCAGAGAGGATGGAGATACAGAGGTGTTCAGGTTCACTCTGCAGAGATGATGGAGATACAGAGGTGTTCAGGTTCACTCTGCGGAGATGATGGAGATACAGAGGTGTTCAGGTTCACTCTGCAGAGATGATGGAGATACAGAGGTGTTCAGGTTCACTCTGCAGAGAGGATGGAGATACAGAGGTGTTCAGGTTCATGGTGCAGAGAGGATGGAGATACAGAGGTGTTCAGGTTCACTCTGCAGAAAGGATGGAGATACAGAGGTGTTCAGGTTCACTCTGCAGAGAGGATGGAGATACAGAGGTGTTCAGGTTCACGGTGCAGAGAGGATGGAGATACAGAGGTGTTCAGGTTCATGGTGCACAGTAGTTCCTCCTTTAGTCGGAGGACAGAAAAAGCTTCATCGTGAGCTCCTGATTAAAGTGTTTTTTATTTCCTCTTTCCATCACAGCTGTGTCTGTTTGTGTTTGAGCACTCCGGCTCTGGTTCAGCGTTAGCATGAAGTACGTGGCTCACACGGCCCACTGGCAGTTCCTCGGCCTCATGTTTGGGGTTTTGGCCTGGATCCTCACCGTCGCCACCACCGGCCTCAACGAGTGGCGTCTGTGGTTCGTGTCTGACGTGTCCGTGGTCACCTCGGGCGTGGCCTGGGTGGGCATCTGGAGAGCCTGTTTCTACAGCCACGCCCTCCCCGCCATCGAGAACTGTCGGAGCATCGGCCTCTCGGACAGCTTCGCCCCGGCAGAGATCCCCGTCGCCCAGGTGAGTCCGACAGAGATGATAGGGAATAGGAGTCATGGCACGTTATGTGGCAGTGCGGCCATCTTTGGAGGATACAATACAATATAGCTTTATAAGCACTTTAAACCTCCAGACCAAAGTGCTGGAACAAATTGGGTTTTGTGACAGTTGCTCCATTTTACAATAAATTAAAATAGAAGATAATAGTTAAATGAAAAAAACAAAATGTAAACAGAAGAAGTTAAACTGCGACATTGAACTCCAACCGTTAATATGAAAATGTGTATTGACAGTATGTACAGTGATGTTTCAGCTGTAATCCAGATAATAAAGATTATTTCTGGTTGATATTTAATAATAATGTGCTAAGTTCCTGCAGACTGTGTGGTGTATGTATGACTGAATCTGTGTGCAGGTGCTGATGGTTTCGGCGCTGGTCTGCGGTCTGCTGGGGAACCTGAGCGCGGCAGCAGCCATGAGGACGGTGTACTTCTCGATGAAGGATCACAGAAATGTTGGGACGCTCTTCAGGCTGGCGGGGGGGCTGTACCTGCTGACCGGGGCCTGCAGCTCGGTGCCGCTGCTGTGGAACATGTACTCGGTTCTGAGCAACAGAACCATCCACTTCCCTCCGGACTTTCTCCTCCCTGCAGCGCCGGCTCGGCAGCAGCTCGGCGCCGCCATTATCGTGGGTCTTTTTGCCTCCGCCCTGATGCTCGTCAGCGGGGTGCTGTTCCTCTGCTACAGATACGCCTGGGAGGCGCTGGGAGACTTCAGGGAGCCAGAAACAAGACCAGAACAGAAGTCTGGACTACCCAACGGAGACCAGCGGGGCCGAGATAATCCAGCATTTCTCAGAGAAGACAACTCATGAGTGGAAACAACTCATCAAAAACTCTTCACTAACTTAAATTCATGGATCTTCATCTTTTCCATCAGGGCGAAATAGTCTTGGACAGAAGAAACGTTTTTAAATGACAGAGCAGCTGAATCACTGCATCTCTTATTGACCTGAAGAAGTGCCGTTTTAGAAAAGAATCAAGGAAAACATCTCAAATGTAATTGGTGTAGTGGTCAGGTGTAGATGGTAAGACTCAATGAAGGTTCATCAAACAGGGCAACCGTCCGGACAGGACAGACAGAGGAAACCCATGTTGTATTGTTGTATTGCACATTCATTCTGAATTACAGCTGTGATTAAAAAATCCCGGTGACTACGTCCACCTCTTATACTCAGAGTCTTGCTTCAGTGTTTGTAATCCTGCAGCTTTATCAGTGTGCCATTGGCACACCACAGAGTTTCCTCATTCAGCAGCAGATATACAGATATGAAATTAACATACTTTTATTCAAACATAAATATTTTTTATTAATGTTTACAGTTCTCTCTTAAGCTGCTAAATGCTCTGCTGATAGCCAGTTCGGACCAGGGCTTATACAAGATAAACGCATGTTGTTTTGAATAATCTCTGATAATAAAGTTTATTCACAGATCAACTGATCAGCTGTTCTGTGTTTCAGAGTTCAGGGCTGGATGGATTTATCATATCTGCTGTAATAAACGTTATCTCAGCACTATCAGCAGGAGGGGGGGGGGGCATGCCCAGGTGTGGGCGGGGCCCCGTTCAGGGACTGGGGAACCAGATCATGTGACCCGTGGGAGGCTGACGAGTGGCATGTGAGTCGGGAGGGGGGAGGGCACAAAGAGCCTCTTCAGCTGAGAGAGTAAAGGGGGGGGGGGGGGGGGGGGGGGGGGTAGGTGGACACAGAACCAGCAGGTTCATACTGTCAGAAACACTCTGATACTGTCTGGTTCTGTCAGAAAACACTCTGATACGGTCTGGTTCTGTCAGAAACACTCTGATACGGTCTGGTTCTGTCAGAAACACTCTGATACTGTCTGGTTCTGTCTGGTTCTGTCAGAAACACTCTGATACTGTCTGGTTCTGTCAGAAACACTCTGATACGGTCTGGTTCTGTCAGAAACACTCTGATACTGTCTGGTTCTGTCTGGTTCTGTCAGAAACACTCTGATACTGTCTGGTTCTGTCAGAAAACACTCTGATACGGTCTGGTTCTGTCAGAAACACTCTGATACGGTCTGGTTCTGTCTGGTTCTGTCAGAAACACTCTGATACTGTCTGGTTCTGTCTGGTTCTGTCAGAAACACTCTGATACTGTCTGGTTCTGTCAGAAAACACTCTGATACTGTCTGGTTCTGTCAGAAACACTCTGATACGGTCTGGTTCTGTCAGAAACACTCTGATACTGTCTGGTTCTGTCAGAAACACTCTGATACGGTCTGGTTCTGTCAGAAACACTCTGATACTGTCTGGTTCTGTCAGAAACACTCTGATACGGTGTTCTGTCAGAAACACTCTGATACGGTCTGGTTCTGTCAGAAACACTCTGATACGGTCTGGTTCTGTCAGAAACACTCTGATACGGTCTGGTTCTGTCAGAAACACTCTGATACTGTCTGGTTCTGTCAGAAACACTCTGATACGGTCTGGTTCTGTCAGAAACACTCTGATACTGTCTGGTTCTGTCAGAAACACTCTGATACGGTCTGGTTCTGTCAGAAACACTCTGATACGGTCTGGTTCTGTCAGAAACACTCTGATACGGTCTGGTTCTGTCAGAAACACTCTGATACTGTCTGGTTCTGTCAGAAACACTCTGATACGGTCTGGTTCTGTCAGAAACACTCTGATACGGTCTGGTTCTGTTAGAAACACTCTGATACGGTCTGGTTCTGTCAGAAACACTCTGATACTGTCTGGTTCTGTCTGGTTCTGTCAGAAACACTCTGATACTGTCTGGTTCTGTCAGAAACACTCTGATACTGTCTGGTTCTGTCAGAAACACTCTGATACGGTCTGGTTCTGTCAGAAACACTCTGATACGGTCTGGTTCTGTCAGAAACACTCTGATACTGTCTGGTTCTGTCAGAAACACTCTGATACTGTCTGGTTCTGTCTGGTTCTGTCAGAAACACTCTGATACTGTCTGGTTCTGCCAGAAACACTCTGATACGGTCTGGTTCTGTCAGAAACTCTCTGATACTGTCTGGTTCTGTCAGAAACACTCTGATACGGTCTGGTTCTGTCAGAAACACTCTGATACTGTCTGGTTCTGTCAGAAACACTCTGATACTGTCTGGTTCTGTCAGAAACACTCTGATACGGTCTGGTTCTGTCAGAAACACTCTGATACGGTCTGGTTCTGTCAGAAACACTCTGATACGGTCTGGTTCTGTCAGAAACACTCTGATACGGTCTGGTTCTGTCAGAAACACTCTGATACGGTCTGGTTCTGTCAGAAACACTCTGATACGGTCTGGTTTCTGTCAGAAACACTCTGATACGGTCTGGTTCTGTCAGAAACACTCTGATACGGTCTGGTTCTGTCAGAAACACTCTGATACGGTCTGGTTCTGTCAGAAACACTCTGATACTGTCTGGTTCTGTCAGAAACACTCTGATACGGTCTGGTTCTGTCAGAAACACTCTGATACGGTCTGGTTCTGTCAGAAACACTCTGATACGGTCTGGTTCTGTCAGAAACACTCTGATACGGTCTGGTTCTGTCAGAAACACTCTGATACGGTCTGGTTCTGTCAGAAACACTCTGATACTGTCTGGTTCTGTCAGAAACACTCTGATACTGTCTGGTTCTGTCAGAAACATTCTGGTTCTGTCAGAAACACTCTGATACTGTCTGATTCTGTCAGAAACACTGCTTCACTGAAACACTGCTTCACTGAAACACTGAACAGAACACATGTAGAACTCTTTATTTAAAGAGGAGGCATCGTGCAGACAGTGATGAACAATATGAAACTAAATGAAACACAGAAGCATCAGAAGAGACGGTTTATGTTGAATGTTGGAATTATTTTGGAAGAGATTTCTCGTTCCAGCCGCTCAGATAATCGTCTGATTATTGTGAACACTATCATGGTTGTTTATCTGCAGCTTCATGTTTTCCTGAATTCTGATCAAAGCCTGGTTTCTGAGGGGATCTGGTCCTGAGACTCTGGAGACGTCCTCTGAGCTGAGACCCTCCGTTATCTCTGAGCTGAGACCCTCCGTTAACTCTGAGCTGAGACCCTCCGTTACCTCTGAGCTGAGACTCTGGAGACGTCCTCTGAGCTGAGACCCTCAGTTATCTCTGAGCTGAGACCCTCCGTTAACTCTGAGCTGAGACCCTCCGTTACCTCTGAGCTGAGACTCTGGAGACGTCCTCTGAGCTGAGACCCTCCGTTACCTCTGAGCTGAGACCCTCCGTTACCTCTGAGCTGAGACCCTCCGTTACCTCTGAGCTGAGACCCTCCGTTACCTCTGAGCTGAGACCCTCCATTACCTCTGAGCTGAGACCCTCCGTTACCTCTGAGCTGAGACCCTCCGTTACCTCTGAGCTGAGACCCTCCGTTAACTTTGAGCTGAGACCCTCCATTACCTCTGAGCTGAGACCCTCCGTTACCTCTGAGCTGAGACCCTCCATTACCTCTGAGCTGAGACCCTCCGTTAACTCTGAGCTGAGACCCTCCGTTAATTCTGAGCTGAGACCCCCCGTTACCTCCGAGCTGAGACCCTCCGACCCTCCGTTACCTCTGAGCTGAGACCCTCCGTTACCTCTGAGCTTAGTCTCTCCGTTACCTCTGAGCTGAGACCCTCCGTTACCTCTGAGCTGAGACCCTCCGTTACCTCTGAGCTGAGTCTCTCCGTTACCTCTGAGCTGAGTCCCTCCGTTACCTCTGAGCTGAGACCCTCCGTTACCTCTGAGCTTAGTCTCTCCGTTACCTCTGAGCTGAGACCCTCCGTTACCTCTGAGCTGAGACCCTCCGTTACCTCTGAGCTGAGTCCCTCCGTTACCTCTGAGCTGAGACCCTCCGTTACCTCTGAGCTGAGACCCTCCGTTACCTCTGAGCTGAGACCCTCCGTTACCTCTGAGCTGAGACCCTCCGTTACCTCTGAGCTGAGACCCTCCGTTACCTCTGAGCTGAGACCCTCCGTTAATTCTGAGCTGAGACCCCCCGTTACCTCCGAGCTGAGACCCTCCGACCCTCCGTTACCTCTGAGCTGAGACCCTCCGTTACCTCTGAGCTTAGTCTCTCCGTTACCTCTGAGCTGAGACCCTCCGTTACCTCTGAGCTGAGACCCTCCGTTACCTCTGAGCTGAGTTTTCTCCGTTACCTCTGAGCTGAGTCCCTCCGTTACCTCTGAGCTGAGACCCTCCGTTACCTCTGAGCTTAGTCTCTCCGTTACCTCTGAGCTGAGACCCTCCGTTACCTCTGAGCTGAGACCCTCCGTTACCTCTGAGCTGAGTCCCTCCGTTACCTCTGAGCTGAGACCCTCCGTTACCTCTGAGCTGAGACCCTCCGTTACCTCTGAGCTGAGACCCTCCGTTACCTCTGAGCTGAGACCCTCCGTTACCTCTGAGCTGAGACCCTCCGTTACCTCTGAGCTGAGACCCTAATTTCCTCTGTTTGTTTTCACTCGGATGCATTTAGACATAATTCCTCGTAAAGAGAAGACATGTCATTTCCTCTGAGCTGAGGCTAACGGTAAGGCTAACGCTAATCAGGAGGAACATCTCTGCGGGGTTTCCCCCCCTCTCCTCCGCAGACATACTTGTACATTTGGTTCAGTACTTCATAATAGTATATAATAGCTAGAATATAAAGTATTTTCACTGAAATGAAGGATCTGAGTTCTTCAACATCCAAAGAAACCTCATTGCTGCTCATTAGCTTCAGTGAGTGCTTTGATTCTTTTGACTTTTGATCTTATTTTTGATCTTATTTTGTACCTCTGTGAAGCGTCTTTGAGCGCCTGATAAAGCACCTTATCAATAAAATGTATTATTATTATTACACAAACACACAAGTACACACAGTACCACCATCAGTGTGGGAATGCTGCAGCAACTTGTAATGCTGCAGACAGTGTGTGTGTGTGTGTGTGTGTGTGTGTGTGTGTGTGTGTGTGTGTGTGTGTGTGTGTGTGTGTGTGTGTGTGTGTGTGTGTGTGATGCAGGAACATGTAATGCTGCAGACAGTGTGTGTGTGTGTGTGTGTGTGTGTGTGTGTGTGTGTGATGCAGGAACATGTAATGCTGCAGACAGTGTGTGTGTGTGTGTGTGTGTGTGTGTGTGTGTGATGCAGGAACATGTAATGCTGCAGACAGTGTGTGTGTGTGTGTGTGTGTGTGTGACGCAGGAACATGTAACACTGCAGACACACGCCTCTGACCTCTGACCTCAGCACATTTGTGTGATTATGTATCGGCTCTGCATTCTTCAGCTGCACGCCGCCCATTAGAGCCTTCATTAAACACAGCTTAGCCAGCGAGCTCCAGGGAACTGGAGGAATGAACCTCACGCTGCGTGTCCAGCCGCTGGCCTCAGGCCCTCCGTCCTCCTGCTCAACAACACACACACACTGCCAACACACACACACTGCCAACACACACACTGCCAACACACACACTGCCAACACACACACTGCCAACACACACACTGCCAACACACACACTGACAACACACACACTGCCAACACACACACTGCCAACACACACACTGCCAACACACACACTGCCAACACACACACACCGCCAACACACACACTGCCAACACACACACTGCCCAACACACACACCGCCAACACACACACACCGCCAACACACACACTGACAACACACACACTGACAACACACACATTGACAACACACACACTGACAACACACACACTGACAACACACACACTGACAACACACACACACCGCCAACACACACACCGCCAACACACACACTGACAACACACACACACTGCCAACACACACATTGACAACACACACACTGACAACACACACACACTGCCAACACACACACACTGCCAACACACACACTGCCAACATACACACCGCCAACACACACACTGACAACACACACACACCGCCAACACACACACTGCCAACACACACACTGCCAACACACACACCGCCAACACACACACTGCCAACACACACACTGCCAACACACACACTGACAACACACACACACTGACAACACACACACACAGCCAACACACACACTGCCAACACACACACTGACAACACACACACTGACAACACACACACACCGCCAACACACACACTGACAACACACACACTGACAACACACACATCGCCAACACACACATTGCCAACACACACACCGCCAACACACACACTGACAACACACACACCGCCAACACACACATTGACAACACACACACCGCCAACACACACACTAACAACACACACACCGCCAACACACACATTGACAACACACACACTGACAACACACACACCGCCAACACACACACTGACAAAACACACAACGCCAACACACACACTGACAACACACACACCGACAACACACACACCGACCAACACACACACCTGCCAACACACACACCGCCAACACACACACTGACAACACACACACCGCCAACACACACACTGACAAAACACACAACGCCAACACACACACTGACAACACACACACCGACAACACACACACCGACAACACACACACCGCCAACACACACACTGACAACACACACACCGCCCAACACACACACTGACAACACACACACTGACAACACACACACACTGACAACACACACACACTGACAACACACACACTGACAACACACACACCGCCAACACACACACCGCCAACACACACACCGCCAACACACACACTGACAACACACACACCGCCAACACACACACTGACAACACACACACTGACAACACACACACACTGACAACACACACACCGCCAACACACACACTGACAAACACACACACACTGACAACGCACACACCGCCAACACACACACTGACAAACACACACACACTGACAACACACACACCGCCAACACACACACACTGACAACACACACACCGCCAACACACACACTGACAACACACACACCGACAACACACACACCGCCAACACACACACTGACAACACACACACCGCCAACACACACACCGCCAACACACACACACCGCCAACACACACACTGACAACACACACACTGACAACACACACACTGACAACACACACACACTGACAACACACACACCACCAACACACACACACCGCCAACACACACACACTGACAACACACACACCGCCAACACACACACTGCCAACACACACACCGACAACACACACACCGCCAACACACACACCGCCAACACACACACACCGCCAACACACACACTGACAACACACACACTGACAACACACACACTGACAACACACACACACCGCCAACACACACACTGACAACACACACACCGCCAACCCACACACTGTCAACACACACACACCGCCAACACACACACCGACAACACACACACTGACAACACACACACTGCCAACACACACACTGACAACACACACACCGCCAACACACACACTGACAACACACACACTGACAACACACACACTGACAACACACACACTGACAACACACACACTACCAACACACACACTGACAACACACACACCGCCAACACACACACTGACAACACACACACTGCCAACACACACACTGACAACACACACACTGCCAACACACACACCACCAACACACACACTGACAACACACACACACCGCCAAACACACACACACACACTGACAACACACACACTGACAACACACACACACTGACAACACACACACTGACAACACACACACTGCCAACACACACACTGCCAACACACACACTGCCAACACACACACACCGCCAACACACACACTGACTACACACACACTGCCAACACACACACTGTGACATAACTCAGGACAAACTGCTGGACGCTGTTAGAAAGAGAATGAAGGAGTTAAAAAAGAGACTTCAATAGATTTTAATATTAGAATAACTCTTTATGTGGATCATCTGAGCCGCTCCTCTAAGATAAGATAAGGTCTGATCTATGTTCAGGAATAACTCAATCACAGCATTTGAAAAGCTTAGACTGAAATAATATTGTAAGAGAAAGATCCTAAAGCCACTAAGCCAATAAGGAATATAAAGATTTCATAAAACATCTCTAAAAAAATATTGATTTGTGTTCTGGTCACAGCAGGTGGAGTGAAGATGAGTCACCTATAAACAGTTCTCTGGACGTCTGGTCTTAGCACCATTCAGTCGTCCGTGATAATCAGCTTTATACAGGAACCAGATATTTACATCATTATCAGAGGCAGACTGAGGTGGGGGTTTACAGGTCTGCAGGTCTGCAGGTCTACAGGTCTGCAGGTCTAGAGGTGTTGGTCCCGGTGCAGGTCTACAGGTCTACAGGTCTGCAGGTCTAGAGATGTTGGTCCCAGTGCAGGTCTACAGGTCTACAGGTCTGCAGGTCTAGAGATGGTGGTCCCGGTGCAGGTCTGCAGGTCTACAGGTCTGCAGGTCTAGAGGTGGTGGTCCCGGTGCAGGTCTACAGGTCTACAGGTCTACAGGTGGTGGTCCCGGTGCAGGTCTAGAGGTGTACAGGTGGTAGTCCCGGTGCAGGTCTAGAGGTGTACAGGTGGTGATCCCGGTGCAGGTCTAGAGGTGTACAGGTGGTGGTCCCGGTGCAGGTCTACAGGTCTAGAGGTTTACAGGTGGTGGTCCGGGTGCAGGTCTATAGGGCTACAGGTGTACAGGTGGTGGTCGCGGTGCAGGTCTACAGGTCTAGAGGTCTACAGGTGGTGGTCCTAGTGCAGGTCTACAGGTCTAGAGGTGTACAGGTGGTGGTCCTGGTGCAGGTAAGTCGTCGTCCTCTAAACGTACTCGGATCGCTTCTTGAAGGACACGTCGGTGCTCATCACCTGGTACCTGCGCTGCAGCGCCGGCTCAGTTTCCCCCCCCGGTGAATACCAGCAGGCTGAGACCAGCAGCAGCCCGGCCACCACCAGCAGGAACCCCCCCGCCCAGCCGATGAATAGAGCGTCTCCAAACTCCCACCGAGGAACCACATCCGGCACTTTATCGTCAAAGAAATGCATGACGGCCAAGTGTGCCATGTAGGACACTGGGACGAGACAGAGCACTCCAGACACGACCCCCAGCACCCCCCCTATGCTGGTCAAAATCCTCTTGGGGCCCCCCCTGCAGCTGTTCACCATGTGGAGTCCGGGCGTCGCCACCAGCAGGCCCAGCACGCCCACGGCCAGCGAAGCACACATGAGGATACGAGACAGCTTCAGGTCTCTGGAGAGGCCCAACAGGCTGTCGTAGGCCCGGCACTCCATCCCCCCCACGTCCTGCACCACACAGGTCTCCCACAGGCCCAGCTCGTAGCTCTCCACCGGCAGCAGCGCGGTGGACATGGTTAGCCACTGCGGCAGGAGGGTAGATGCTAACACGCAGAGCCACGCCACCACAAACAGCAGCATGGCCAGCAGCTCCAGAGCGCAGGAGTCCATGTCCCTTACTTCTTCTTCTGCTCTTCAGACAAGAGGCTGCCGGAGACGAGAGGCTGCCGGAGACGAGGAGACGAGAGGCTGCTGGAGAGGAGAGGGTGCTGGAGACGAGAGGCTGCCGGAGACGAGGAGACGAGAGGCTGCCGGAGACGAGAGGGTGCTGGAGACGAGAGGCTGCCGGAGACGAGAGGGTGCCGGAGACGAGAGGCTGCCGGAGACGAGAGGCTGCCGGAGACGAGAGGCTGCCGGAGACGAGAGGGTGCCGGAGACGAGAGGCTGCCGGAGACGAGGAGACGAGAGGCTGCTGGAGAGGCTGCTAATTAAAGGAAATAGCTCGCTCTGAGCTCCTTCTCTGCTCCCACTCCTCAGAGTTTCCTCTTGGGGGGAGGAACAGACCTCCTGCTGCACCAATGGGCAGCGAGGCGACCACAGGGGGGGACATTAGATGCAGGCAGGATATTATGTGCTGCATGTGTATGCATCCTGTGTGACCTCCCTGTGTATACAGAAGCTGAGAAATGACAAGTTAAACCCTAAAGACGGGATTTTATTCATTAAAAAGATAAGCTTCTCATAAACCGGGCAGCCTGAAGAGATTATATAAAATATTATAATATTATAGTTTTATTCTGTGTGATGGACATTACTTTAGGAAGCTGTCTTTTTTTTCTTTATCTTATTAAAGGCAAAACCAGATAAAAAACCTGTTGAAGAATTTATTTGAAGTTGTTAGATTACTTCATAAACCATTTAGAATATTTAATAATGCAAACTCATAGACGTAATTATGAATATACCATATAAGTTAATTGATGTAATAAGTATACAATATCAGGTTAATAAGGAATGTGTGATATTTGATACGTTTGATGTTGTGTGTGTGAGCCTCTGTCGGCATGTGACTGAAACAGAGCTGCTGATTGTTGCTCTGTGGGAGAAAAGGAACAAACAACAGAAATGCACTGATAAGATCCTCTGGAGAACAAAACGCTCAGCTGACTTCACACACACACACACACACACACACACACACACACACACACACACACACACACACACACACACACACACACACACACACCAGCTCGAGTCACTACTTCTAGAGCTGATGGACTGTAACTATTAGAAATCTTGTATAAAAAAATAATTGTTAAAATCTAAGAAACATAGAATAGAATACAGAATAAAGGATGAGTACATTGTATGCAAGTTTTAACATATATGTTTCATATAAATACATTTATAAAACGGACAAGTCAAATCAAGCAATCTGATTGGTTCTTAGCCGTGATATACTGAGCGTATACCACGGGTAGAATTGTAAATTACTTTTCACAACAAGTCAGTATCCCTCCGCGCCTGAGAAAAACTGTATACAGTTGGGCTTTTTCAAACTGGAACAAGAAAGCAGCGGAGAAGTAATGGGGCAGAAACCCTCCTTTTTACGCAACGGTCCAGACATAGACATCAAACGGCAAAAACATATTCAGTGTGCAGTTCCTTTGGCATTAGGGCAGGGATATCTAGATACTTTCCAAGGTTTGACATCATTAATTGTGCTACTTTTAAAGCAAGCAACGATGTTTTCAAATCTGTAATCAAAAAGGTCCGCAAAAACATTTAAGATTAACTTCGACCTCCGGGGGGGGGGGGGCGGGGTCTCACTATGGAGGAGTGGATTGAGGAGTGCCTATCTCCAAAAAGCACGTACACGACGACATGTAGAGCTACGTGAAGAGCAGGCAGACCAACTGGAAAGGTACCACCATTCACAAGCTTTCTGATGCGGGTCTTGAAACAAAGCAGAGAAATGATTACCGTTAGTGGCCACAGGTGAGAACGCTCTCTCCAGAGCTACTGGAAGCCCAATCTCGGGGACCGGAGAAAGTGGAGCAATATTCTCGCCACGCCAAGCAACAGCCGAGAACAACCTCAGCCTATAACCACGTAAGCCATGCTACTGATGCTGGACACACTGTGTATATCCCCCCGCAGTCGCTCGCCGACAACAACACGGCACTCGATCAGCTGTTTGGGATTATTGATAAAACCGAGACTTCACGGCCAGATGCGGCGTTCGTTGTGGCCGGAGATTTCAACACCGCCAACATGAAGAAGGTTTTGCCAAAAATATTACCAACATATCAGCTTCCCGACGCGCGGGGGAAACATACTGGACCATGTTTATTCCCCTTTTCGACATGGATACAAGGCTCTCCCTCGCCCTCCCTTCGGCAAATCAGACCACATCTCACTACTGCTGCTGCCTGCGTACAAGCAGAAACTTAAAAGGGACAGACCGATAACAAGGACAGTACAGCGATGGAGCGAGGAGTCAGATGCAGCACTGCAGGATTGCTTTGCATCTACGGATTGGAGTGTGTTTGAGGACAATAACATCAACACACACACGGACACTGTCATCTGCTACATTGGGAAATGCATCGATGACGTGGTACCGAAGGTTTCTGTACGGACATTCCCAAATCAAAAGCCATGGATAAACTGCGATGTGCGCGGCAAGCTGAAAGCGCGCACTATCGCGCACAGAGCTGGAGATTTGGAGGAGTTCAGGAAGTCTAGGTATGATCTCCGGAGAGCAATGAGCAGCAAAGAGACAGTACAAAGAGAAGGTGGAATCTGACTTCAAAGGCTGTAACACCAGGAATATGTGGGCGGGACTAAGAACAATGACAGACTACAAAGGAGCAGCGGGGGGTGCTGCGGGAGTGTCTGCGTGCGCATCTCTCCCAGATGAGCTGAACAGTTTTTTTGCACGCTTTGAGAGCAGCCGGGCTGTGGAGGTACAGAGGGACCAGGAGCCAGAGCCCTTTTGTTTTAAACAGGGCAGATGTGTGTAAATCCTTTAAAAGGGTTAACCCACACAAGGCTCCTGGACCTGATGGCATCCTGGCCGTGTTCTCAGGGTGTGTGCAGTTCAGCTGGCAGAGGTGTTCACAGACATCTTCAACAGGTCCCTGCTGCAGTCTGTAGTCCCCACATGCTTCAAACACTCCACTATCGTTCCTGTCCCCAAAAAGACAATCATCACCTGCCCCAACGACTACTGCCCAGTAGCACTCACCTCCATCATCATGAAGTGCTTTGAGCGGTTAGTCAAATTATTCATCACCTCCTCCCTCCCTGACTCTCTGGACCCCCTGCAGTTTGCCTACAGAGCAAACAGGTCCACAGACGACGCCATAGCCCTCACCCTCCACACTGCCCTCTCACACCTGGACCCGAAGAACAGGAACACATATGTGAGAATGCTGTTCATTGACTACAGTTCAGCATTCAATACCATTGTGCCCTCCAAGCTGGCCATCAAGCTCAGAGACCTCGGGCTCAACAGCGCCCTCTGTGACTGGATCCTGAACTTCCTGACGGGCAGACCCCAGGCAGTGCGGGTGGGAAACATCACATCCTCCACCCTGATCCTCAACACCGGTGCCCCTCAAGGCTGCGTGCTCAGCCCTCTCCTCTACCCCCTGTTCACTCACGACTGCGTGGCCACACACAGCTCCAACACCATCGTGAAGTTTACTGATGACACGACCGTCATCGGCCAGATCACAGACGATGACGAGACGGCGTACAGAGAGGAGGTCGAAAACCTGACATCTTGGTGCCAGGAGAACAACCTCCATCTCAACATCAGCAAAACAAAGGAGCTGATTGTGGATTACAGGAAGCAGCAGGGAGAGGGACACGCCCCCATCGCCATCAATGGGACTACGGTGGAGAGAGTCAGCAGCTTCAGGTTCCTTGGGGTCCACATCTCTGAGGACCTGAAATGGACTCATCACTGAGGACCTGACATGGACTCTTCACTGAGGACCTGACATGGTCTCTTCACACCACCAACATCACCAAGAAAGCTCGACAGCGGCTCTTCTTCCTCCGCAGGCTGAGGAGGTTCAAAATGGATTCCAGGATACTCTGCAACTTCTACAGGTGCACCATAGAGAGCATCCTGACCTTCTACAGGTGCACCATAGAGAGTAACCTGACCTTCTACAGGTGCACCATAGAGAGCATCCTGACCTTCTACAGGTGCACGATAGAGAGGATCCTGACCTTCTACAGGTGCACCATAGAGAGCATCCTGACCTTCTACAGGTGCACCATAGAGAGTATCCTGACCTTCTACAGGTGCACCATAGAGAGCATCCTGACCTTCTACAGGTGCCACCATAGATAGAGAGCATCCTGACCTTCTACAGGTGCACCATAGAGAGGATCCTGACCTTCTACAGGTGCACCATAGAGAGCATCCTGACCTTCTACAGGTGCACCATAGAGAGTATCTGACCTTCTACAGGTGCACCATAGAGAGCATCCTGACCTTCTACAGGTGCACCATAGAGAGCATCCTGACCTTCTACAGGTGCACCATAGAGAGTATCCTGACCTTCTACAGGTGCACCATAGAGAGCATCCTGACCTTCTACAGGTGCACCATAGAGAGCATCCTGACCTTCTACAGGTGCACCATAGAGAGTATCCTGACCCTTCTACAGGTGCACCATAGAGAGCATCCTGACCTTCTACAGGTGCACCATAGAGAGCATCCTGACCTTCTACAGGTGCACCATAGAGAGGATCCTGACCTTCTACAGGTGCACCATAAGAGAGCATCCTGACCTTCTACAGGTGCCACCATAGAGAGCATCCTGACCTTCTACAGGTGCACCATAGAGAGCATCCTGACCTTCTACAGGTGCACCATAGAGAGTATCCTGACCTTCTACAGGTGCACCATAGAGAGCATCCTGACCTTCTACAGGTGCACCATAGAGAGCATCCTGACCTTCTACAGGTGCACCATAGAGAGGATCCTGACCTTCTACAGGTGCACCATAGAGAGTAACCTGACCTTCTACAGGTGCACCATAGAGAGTAACCTGACCTTCTACAGGTGCACCATAGAGAGCATCCTGACCTTCTACAGGTGCACCATAGAGAGCATCCTGACCTTCTACAGGTGCACGATAGAGAGGATCCTGACCTTCTACAGGTGCACCATAGAGAGCATCCTGACCTTCTACAGGTGCACGATAGAGAGTATCCTCACTGGCAGCATCACAGCCTGGTACGGCAGCTGCACC